GGAGCTGGGGGGTGCAGGGCCGTATCCTGCCCGGGGCGGGGTGGTGGGGCTGGGGGTGCAAGCAGAGACCCCAAGTGGGTGGTGAGACCCAGGCAGGGACCCTGAGCCAGTGGTGGAGATGGCGGGGGACCAGGGCAGTGACCCCCAGTGGGTGATGGAGATGGAGGGACCCATGGAGGGATCCCCAGGTGGGTGGTGGGACCATCATGATGGGGATGGGGGGACCCAGGCAGGGACCCCCAGGTGGGTGGTGGGACGAGGACAGGATTGGTCCCGCGGTGAGCCCAGGCTCTGCCTTGCAGAACGGGAAGCACGACGAGGCCTGGATGGTGCTGAAGCAGGTCCATGACACCAACATGAGGGCCAAGGGCCACCCTGAGAGGGTCTTCTCGGTAAGGTCCCCGCACCCTGGGGCTGAGCCTCCGGGCACCCAGCAGCCGGGGGGTGGGCTCCTGGCAGAGCAGGGGGCTGCAAATTCCCACCCCCGGGAAAAGCACCTCCCAGTGGGGTTCAACACTGCTTTAGCAGGTGGGGAAACTGAGGCACGAGGTGGGGATGGGTCTTACCTGTGAGCCTTGGCTGAGGCTGGTACTCCTCAGTGTCCCCAAACTGTCCCCGTCCCCCTGCCATACCCCGCAGGTCACCCACATCAAGACCATCAAGCGGGAGGACGAACTCATCGAGATCCAGTCGGACACCGGCACATGGTACCGGACCCCTCGTGTCCCCTCCTCGCCGCTCGTGTCCCCTCCTCGCCGCTCGTGTCCCCTCCTCACCGCTCGTGCCCCCCCCCCATAGGTCTGGAGCAATTTCCAGCAGTGCTTTGCACCCGAGTACCGCCGCGTCACGCTGATGATGATGGCCGTGTGGTTCACCATGTCCTTCAGGTGAGGCCGGGGTGGGACGCTGGGGTCAGCCCCGGAGAGCGGGGGGGGCACCCAGGGGTGCTGTCACCCTGCTGCAGGGCTGGGGGCCGGGCAGCTGGGGCTGGTGACACTGGGATGGGATGGGATGAGAAGCACTGGGATGGGATGGGAAGCACTGGGATGGGACTGGGATGGGACTGGGATTGGTCTGGCAGCACTGGGGTGGGATGAGCAGCAGGATGGGCAGCCCTGGGATGGGATGGGAAGCACTGGGATGGAACTGGGATTGGACTGGCAGCACTGGGGTGGGATGAGCAGCAGGATGGGCAGCCCTGGGATGGGATGGGAAGCACTGGGATGGAACTGGGATGGGAAGCACGAGGATGGAACTGGGATGGAATGGGCAGCACTGGGATGTGACTGGCAGCAGGATTGGCAGCACTGGGATGGGACTGGCAGCACTGGGATGGGATGGGATGGGAAGCACTGGGGTGGGACGGGCATTGTGGCTCAGCTCCTCTGCCCCTGCAGCTACTACGGGCTGACGGTCTGGTTCCCGGACATGATAAAGCACCTGCAGAACATCGAGTACGCCTCACGCACCAAGCTCTTCACCCGCGAGAAGGTCCGGCACTTCACCTTCAACTTCACCTTGGAGAACCAGATCCACCAGGGCGGGGAGTACTTCAATGACAAGTGGGTGCTGGGGGGTGTGTGTGTGCTGAGGACGGGCCTGCTCGTTGTGTGAGTGGAGGGGGTGAGCTGGGCTCTTCCCCTGCACCCAACCCCACCAGGTTCATCGGCCTGAAGATGAAGTCAGTGACGTTTGAGGACTCGCTCTTTGAGGAGTGCTACTTCGAGGACATCACCTCCAGCAACACCTTCTTCAAGAACTGCACCTTCATCTCCACCGTCTTCTACAACACAGGTAGGGGGGGGGTCAGGGAGGGTCCTGGGGCAGGGGAGATGGAGGGGGAGGTGACCCCACCAACCCCCTTCTCCATCCCAACAGATCTCTTTGAGTACAAGTTCATCAACAGCCGGGTGGTGAACAGCACCTTCCTGCACAACAAGGAGGGCTGCCAGCTGGACTTCAGCGACGACAACAACGCCTACATGATTTACTTCGTCAGCTTCTTGGGCACCTTGGCCGTCCTCCCCGGGAACATTGTCTCGGCCCTCCTCATGGACAAGATCGGCCGCCTCCGCATGCTGGGTGGGCATTGAGGAAGAAATGTGTTGGGCTGGGGGTGGCGAGGCGCTGGCCCGGGCTGCCCAGAGAGGTGGTGGATGCCCCATCCCTGGGGCCGTCCCAGGTCAGGTTGGCCAGGGCTGGGAGCAGCCTGATCCAGCGGGAGATCCAGCTCTGGAGCCCTGCGTCCAGCTCGGGA